AGTTTGCTATGCGTTTCCCTTGGATGTGTTTCATATATGTAAAGAGGCTGTTCCTGCTGCTCCTCGCTGTGCAGGATTCTTATTTAAATAAATCCCCTCAAATTTTCTCTTTCCTTCAACAGGGCAAAACTACTGTTCTGTGAACAACGGAGGCTGCACTCACCTCTGTTTAGCAACACCGAGAGGCCGCTCCTGTAGGTGTCCCGACAACGGAGAGAGCCTGGGCTGCTACGAGAGAGATTACTAAAACATGGAGGGTTGGAGACGTTTGAACCACTCAGTGATGCAACTTTTTTTATGTCACAAAAATCTTTTTAATTTTTTCTACTCAGAAGAATCCCATTCATAATAGTTTCTGTAAATAAAAATGACACTATCATGTTTAATTATTTCCTGAGTGCACATAAACTGAGAATAAAGCTCAAGGGATCCATAATTTAATGTGAAGATTATTAGAGGAGCACCTGGCAGCATCTGATGTCAGCTGTGTTACACTGTATGTTTGACATAAAGCTGATCTTAGGGTCTTAATGTCGACTCAATAGGATAAACACATCTGTAAAGCTGGTAGAATCACTTTACCTACTGACCAGCTAATAAATAAATGTTTTTTCTACCATTTTGAAGTTTTTGAGTCTTTATTTTAAGCTGAGCAACACTGCCCCTGTGTGTTTGGTGGAGGATATGCAGCTGAATATCAATAAATCTTTAAAATTTTAAATAAGCATGTAAATAATCGAATAGCAAAACAGTTGGCTTCCTTTTCTTGAAATCTGAATATAAAAAGATATGTTTAAATTTTATTTAGCCAGTTTTAAATATATATTTTAATTGGATATCCTCACCTGCCCCTTTTGTTGATGATTAAATAAAGAATTGTTATTCATCCCAAAGGGAAATTAAATACTTATCATGGTAACGTCAAATGAGACAAAACTGTGTAATTATTATATACATAGATTAGCACAAAAAGTTAATTAATCTTTCAATGCAGAAACAATGCACCTCATAACTATTTGTTTTGAATCCATGCATACATATAACTGAAGTTTATAGATTTACTTATGTTTGCAGGTTTTCAGGAGCTTGCAATCGATGACTGCCGGTTTCCTTACGGTATAAATATAATGTAGTACAAACCTATTTTTATTACCGACAGAGAAAACTTTCAAATATTTATCTGGACTCCAAGCACTGTAAAGAGAATGCTGAATAAGATAAATAGTCCCCTAACAGCTGAAGGGGGAGAGGACTTTTTGTATTACCGATTTCCATGACAACCATTAAATAGTCTGTCAGCGGTTCTCATTTTGATCCTCCGAATACCACTGTCCAGGAGGTTTTGGGTTTCTCTTTGCTTGACTTATATGGAGAAATGATTAGCAGAATTGTGTAGCACTTGACGGCTGCAGAAAAGCTGATGACAGCTTAAACATGATGACACTGGTCTACATGTTATTGGGGAGACATGCTAGGAAATATCCTTCTTCATCCTACCTTCGCAAATGTAAACATGGTGAGTTTGAGGTTTTTTTCATCTATCATTCTGAATGATCTGGTGTAAAACTTAAGCACGGTGGAGGGACTATGATGCTGTGGGTCAGTGTCTATTCATGTAGCCTCGTCTGAGTGTGTGACATTTTAAACTCTTAAAATACCGGGAAATTTATAACTAAATGCTTATACACTCTGTCATAAAACTGAAAATGGGTCAGGGGGATTAATCTGCAATCCAAAATAAAACCTATAAAAGAGAAATAAATAAATATGCAGTGACCTGAAGGAGAGAGACAGGGATCAAAATGTGTACAAAGCAATTACAGCAGTGGATGCCATAATTGTGGCCTAAGTTTTCGTTTGATTATTAAACTTTATTTTTCGTAGCATTTTGTCTTTTTTATTGTAGAATGCACTTATTTTCAGGATTGGATTTTTAGTGCAAGATAAATCTTTTTTCCACAGCTCATGTATTTATGCATACAATTCAACATGCATAATAATGAAAAGGAAGACATGTAAATCAACACAGGTGAAATGAGGACATAGTTTGCTTAAAAATGGCCTGCTAAAGTGTTTTTCCCAGTAAGTCATGGTGCAAATTTTCTCTGCTTCATTCTTCAAACCAGATGGCATCCCCTCTGCATTAGCAGCACTTTCTGTTGATAAATCTAATCTTTGATGTGGCTATGAGACACTTTGTAGATGGATGCGTGGGAGATTGTGGATATTTTAAAATTAATTTAGCACTAAATGTTATCAAGAGTGACTTTAAAAAAAAGGTATTTATGCATGCTCTCTCAGCGCATGCATAACTATTTAGTTCAACCTCGGCTAGCAGAGAAACAGATTCAAACAGCACCATCAAATACAATCAATAAAGTAAATGAAGGAAACAACAAAAAAATGTATTTATTTATTTTTGGCATATTTTCATATATAGGAATTTTATATATACTTTTACAGGGTTGTACATATAATTATACTATAAATTGTCATTTAGACAACAGTCTTTGGTAAGAAATATCCTCTGACAACCCCATTTAAGTCCTCATTAGAATGTCCAAAATAACACAGTGGTGTTTCACATCCATCACATTATGGCAGGCTGTTTTGACATTTATAAGAAGCGCTGTCTTCTCTTTTGTTCCATTTGTTGATCTCTAAAATAAGGTTCTTCCTGGTCAAAACTATATTTCTACCAGTCAAAGATGAAAATATAGATATCCTAGATGACATTTTTGCCATCAAATGTTAAATTTCAGGATGCAAAAATATGATTGTACAAGTAAGAATAAACTATGAGATACCTAGAAATGTTTACAAATTTTAAATGGTCGTTTTGACATTTATTAGCTTGACTGAATATAAGGTTCAGATGTTCAGCAGAGGATATTCTGTAGCAGAGAAAGTTCCACTACAGTTTCCACAGCAGAGAAGGTTCCTCCGCTGCAAAGAAGTTTCCACGGCAGAGAAGGTTCTGTAGCAGAAAAGGTTTCATCACAGCAGAGAAGGTAAGACCAAAGCAGATACATTTCTATACCACAGCAGGTTCCACAGCAGGGGAGGTTCCGCAGTAGAGAAGGCTCTGTAGCCGAGAGGGTTCCACCACAGCAGAGAGGGTTCACCAGTGCAAAGTTCCGCAGCAGAGAAGGTTCCACCAGTGCAGAGAAAGTTCCTCTGCAGAGAAGGTTCCACAGCAGTGAAGGTTGCACCGTGCAGAGAAGGTTCCACCACAGCAGAGAAGGTTCCACCACAGCTTCTCTTCTGCAGGACCTTCTCTGCACGGTGGAACCTTCTTTGCTGTGGTGGAACCTACTCTGCACTGTTCTAACCTTCCCTGCTGCGGAACTTTACACTGGTGGAACCTTCTCTGCTGCGGAACTTTCTCTGCACTGGAGGAACCTTCTCTGCTGTGGTCGAACCTTCTCTGCTGCGGAACTTTCTCTGCACTGGTGGAACCTTCTCTGCTGCGGAACTTTCTCTGCGCTGGTGGAACCTTCTCTGCTGCGGAACTTTCTCTGCACTGGTGGAACCTTCTCTGCTGCTGAGCTTTCTCTGCACTGGTGGACCTTCTCTGCTGCGGTGGAACCTTCTCTGCTGCGGAACTTTCTCTGCACTGGTGGAACCTTCTCTGCTGCTGAACTTTCTCTGCACTGGTGGAACCTTCTCTGCTGCTGAACTTTCTCTGCACTGGTGGACCTTCTCTGCTGCGGTGGAACCTTCTCTGCTGCTGAACTTTCTCTGCACTGGTGGACCTTCTCTGCTGCGGTGGAACCTTCTCTGCTGCGGAACTTTCTCTGCACTGGTGGACCTTCTCTGCTGCGGTGGAACCTTCTCTGCTGCGGAACTTTCTCTGCACTGGAGGAACCTTCTCTGCTGCGGTGGAACCTTCTCTGCTGCGGAACTTTCTCTGCACTGGAGGAACCTTCTCTGCTGTAGTCGAACCTTCTCTGCTGCAGAACTTTCTCTGCACTGGTGGAACCTTCTCTGTTGTGGTGGAACCTTCTCTGCATTATAATCTTATTTATATTATTTACATACACTGAGGAGCAGAGCCTCTTACTGTATATAAGATATGGGGTTGAATGAGTAGTGGTTTTGGGATTTGTTCCTGCAGCAGGACTTGCTCTTACCTGCACCTTATCCACCGTATTTTTACCTTTTTTTCTATAACAAAATGACTTAAAAAAGGCACATAGTTATTTTTCAAATAACTGAATGTTCCTTAATTTTCTCCCATGACTGTCACATATCTTTTAAACAATAACATGAAAAACAAAGAACTATACTGGGCATGGTCACCACTGTAGAAAATTGTTGTTTTAGCTCGTGCCACAAAGGGAGGCTGCGGTTTTCCACATCCCCATGGAGAACTGCTTTGGCTCACCTCAGCTGAGGCTGAACTCAAACAGTATCTTTATCCTGCAATATGCACTGGTTAAGGTATATACATGTTTGGCAGTTGAACATCTAAATCATAGAGATCCTGAAAGTCTGTTTTCATTATTATTATTATAGGTATTTTAAACATTACAAAAATATTAAACTATTTTAATCTGACATGTTATCCAGAAACGTCAAAGTTTGAGGTGTTATTTATACATAAGTCTGCCAAACGTACATAACGCCAAATCTACGCGAATTATTTTTTACATAAGTTCCTTAAATGCACCACTGATGTGTATGCCGACATTGATTAAAGGGTTTGTGTGCCGACCAATAGGAAGCGGGTACAGAGCTCCGTCACGAGAAAGGATTAGTATTAATAAAGCTGTTCCCTTAGACTAGTCTGCAAGGGAAATAGTCTAATTTCTTTAAGAATCCAGAATTAAAGAACCATAACGACAATTTGACACATTCAGAAGAACACGTAGAACAAAACCATTAAAATAAAATCATAAGCCCTTGTAGATATAAAAGATCATTAGCATAAAAATATTTACATAACAAGGAAAACCATTCTATAGGCTCGTGCTTTCGTGAACACCTCCTTCAACTATTGAACTCCAGTTCTTTAGCGGGCGGAGACAGAGGGAGCTGCCTTGCAGCCAACGCTGAGGGTAAAATCACCCAGAGGCTGCTTAGTGCTGAACGAAGTCTAGCTGCTTTCTAGCTGCCTTTCACTCACCAAGGTACGTTTAAAAGTCTACACTTTCAATTTAAATGTTTTTAATATAATATCTGTGTCAACTTAGCAGCAGTGCATAATTATTTTCTCATGGGGTTCTGTAGGATATGTTCATTTTTCTTTTATACAGTTCTGACAGTTGACAAACAGCCTATGCGATACAACAACCGAGCAGTGAATTATTTGGCGTTTAAAATGTTTACAAAAGAGCTGAAAAGAGCTGTGAAGTGAAATTTATGGACTGAATTCGGGAATTGTTTAGTCGGTACTACAAGTACTACTGATGCAGAAAGATATAGAGCTAAAGTCGTTATAGTTATCCAGCATAGCCTTTGTCTATCACTGTTAAGTTAGCCTCAACATTAAACTAACGGAAGTTAGGGGATTTCAAAGTAAAATAAATTAAATGGCGAAAATTAATATAAAATTTAATATGAAAAGTAGAACAAAAATATTCTAATAGCTGGTTGAATTAAAATGAAATACCTTACTGTAACGTTATTATAACATAATAAAAATAATTTAAGATATTGAATGGCAACTAAATATGATTATAAATTATCATAATGCACGTACTATTAAAACTTCAGAGCAATATTTTAATCCTCAAAACTTGAGATACATGGAAATAAAATGTTTACATGTTTTATTACACTGGAGCCCGCATTATTATATCGTGGAACCACTTTTATAATATTGTAAATATTATTACACTATAATATTGTATATATTGTTTGTTACAGTTAAACCACAATTTCAATCAACAACACATATATGGAGGACCAGTCCTGCCATAATTAAAAATAAATAAAGAAATAAATAAATGCTCCAAAAATAAATAAATAAAATAAATAAATAATAAACAATTAATTGCCACCCCCCAAAAATACAATAAACAAATGCTAAATGTCTCAGCTCACCCACAGCTTCATGGTAGGTAGCCATGTTTGTTGTGACTGTGGCCGGTGGCTGCTAACCAACCAATGGGCTGAAGTTGACCCCTAAAGACACAGCCCTCCTCATTTGCATAATGAGGCAGTATGCATACAGAAATGTAAATACGACAGGCAGAAATAAAATAGCATGGAAAAAATAAAGAGGGTAAAAAAATACTAAGGAAAAATAAGCCAGACAAAAATATTATAACATGCACATAAATACTTAAAGAAATAAGTAATACATTTATGTTGAAGAATATACTGGAGAATAAATAAATAAGGTTATTATTACAAAGGCAACTAAACAAAGCAGCTAATTAAAAGCTGTATATATATATAAATATATATTTATGTCTCACTGTGTAATTTAATTTCTACCTACATTTATTTGTTTGTTGTATTTTTGGGGGGCAATTAATTGTATGCTTATTTATTTTTTGGAGCATTTATTTATTTATGTATTTATTTTTAAATATGGCAGCATTGGTCCTCCATACATCTAATGTCAGATCATTATAATTAAAGCTACTATCATTAGGGGGCAACAGTTATAAAAACTTATCTGTTTTTATATTATATCCATTTTTCCTTAATTGCTGTTCATTTCTAGTATGTGTATCATTGAGTTATATAATGTAAATATAACCTAAATAATGTGTGTTACTTTTCTCTTACAACAGTATTAGTTTACCAATAATTCAGTTGTTTTTCCAATAAAGCCTTTGCCAGGCTTCTGTGTTCACGAGATGCTTTTATTGTGAAGGAAAGTCCTTAGCGGAAATTGTTTCTTTTTTAAATCCATCTACCTTGACGCTAGTGCTGTCAAGTGTCTTTTTAGCTAGCTGCGACTCGTTTTGTTTTGGTTGTGCTACAGGATTGTTAGACCGATGTTTTCAGTCTCTAAAGCGCACCGTGATTAACTATTAGTTTATCTGAAACCGACTTTATAAGACTCAGTAGCTGTAACGACTAATGTGTTATTATTATTGTTATATTTTTTGTTTAATATCCCATAACATGTATTTCCATCCAGGACTTTTTAAAACGGGCTAAACGGCGCAGTGAGGAATGAATTTGCAATGAAAGACTCGGGAGAACCTCTGGGGCTTTTTCCGGAGCGCTTCCAGCCTCCTGGGGGATAAAAAGGATCGCTGTGAATCCCTGACTTCCCTGGAGGAGCAGTCATGGCCCATCTGCAGCACACCGACCTGTCATATGCGTGGGAAAAGTACATGGACTGCAGGCTGCAGGGAGCTGATCTGCAGGTAAGGATGTGCAGCACTACAGGATGCATGCTCAGCATTCTCACCCGTACCAATGAAACGCTGCAAAGCAGTGATTCTGATCAAAAGCATCAAAGAGTTCATCTCATTTTCATTTGGATCAATAGAAACTATTGTTTATTTCATTATGTTTAACTTGTCAAATATTCCCTTTGAGTTTTCAAGTCATATTAAGTCTGAACTGCAAACAGGAGACATTCCTGCTGTCTGCCTGAGTTTCTTCCACAGTGTGTTTTTGTTCTTAGGTGGATGTTTGAAATGTCTCAAAGTGTGGCTAAATTAGAGGCTGTGTTTCTCATTTATCATTCATCCCTGCTGCAACCAGACTCTACCATGCAACACTACAACGGCAATAACCTCTGCAATGTATAATGTGCAATATACCATCTGATATCCTCTGCAATAACTGTTTCTCTATATTTGACACCCAGTTCAATAACTTTATATTTAAATATCCATCTATAAATACCCATGTAAACACCCCGTGCGATAACTCTCTCTCTCTCTCCATCTATATATATATATATATATATATATATATGTATGTGTATGTATATATATATATATATATATATATATATATATATATATATATATATATATATATATATATATATATATATATATATATATATATATATTTATTTATTTATTTATATTTATTTTGTCAGGGAAAACTAATCCTGAGTCAGTTAAAAGTCAGGGAATTCTAAAATGATGTAAGCCCGTGGAAACCCTGTATAAAATAACTATGTATAATGATTCTCTAGAAAAGTCACATTATATTAATAGTATCACCTTGTATCAACATACCGTGACTTTAAAATAACAGTTATTCATTTGTGACATTGACTTCTGTCTTGTGATTTATCTTAAGTTTTTAACCTGTCAAGTTTTTTTTAGATTTTTAACATTACAATTTATGTTTTTCCAAGCACACAACAGTTTAAAGCAAAGTTTAGTTTGAAAAGAATGAGCAGGAAGGATTGAAAAGCAATGTTAACACGGTAATGTAGGCTTGAAAAATGAATATTAGGAACTATATTTATCAAACATTATACTGGGCAAGTAAAAATTGTTTCTGGGCAAATGAAATGTGAAAGTCACTTGCCCAAAGGGTAAGTGGCAAAAACCCTTAACGTCAACCCCTGATATGCATATCCATCTATATAAATACCCATTTAAACACCCTGTATAATAATCCTGCTATTAAAAAAAAAAGCTGTCATATGTGGACGCACTGTATATATCCTATGCATCTTTTTCTTCCTTTGACTTCCTTCTTTGACTATTTGAGCTGATATGAAGTACATTTCTCTAGTGTGAGATCAATAAAATCAATCAACTTCAAACTTTAAAAGTATCAAACATTTAGTCTTTCGCTTATTTATTTGTTGAAAAGTAAATGGACACCATCATGCCATTTTCCGTCTACAGTTTTATGGTGTTAGTGTTCCTAGCATTACAGGCAGTAGTTTAGTTAGGAAGCTGGTCCAGATTGTATTTTTTTAACACGATACCACTAACATAAAGTGCTGGATTTTAGTTATTTATTAAAAAATGTATGATTTAGATAAGCTATATTGTTTATGCTGATGTAGCCAAACATCTTGGTTTTGTTGTAACCCATCTTTTGGAACATTAAGCTCTCTAGATTCTGCCTTTTGTTTAAAGAAATGTAATAAGTCTCATATGAGTCAGATGGAGGCAGGTGTAAACCACAGCTTGTTTGGAACTGTTGGTGTTAACAGATTTTTTCTTCTTTCTTTCTGTTCTGAATGAGGTGTTTTTTCCGTTAATCTCTCCCAGACTTCTGCTGCTCTTTTTTTTGTTTTTCCTCGAACCGTTGAAGCAGAACAACAGTTGGATCACGGGACTTAGATTAGGATCAGACTGGGAGTTCTTACACCAATCAGACACTCATTCACACGCTTATTTGGAAAACACAGCAGCTAGTCTACACCTCTGTTAAAATGACCAATTTTTATTCTTGTTTTTGGAAAAAATGATATAATTCAGTTTCTATAGCACCAATTCCCAACACATGTCACCTCAAGGCACTTTACAGTTCACCAGTTGATACAGTCAAATTAATTCAAAGTTTTCTATCTAAGGAAAACCAGTTTATTGCACCGACTCATCGACTCAAAGGTAATGCCTCACACTAAGCATGCTTGTGGTGACAGTGGAGAGGAAAAACTCCCTTTTTAACATGAAGTAACCTCCAGCAGAACCAGGCTCAGTGTGAGCGGCCATCTGCTGAGGCCGACTGGGGTTCAAGGAGACAGAAGCAGACAGAAAAAGAAGGAGATTTACAAAAGGCAACTATCAGCCAGCTAAAGTTTTGAGAGGGTTTTAAAAAGGGAAGTGGCTGCAGAAAGAAATCTCAAAGAAATCTCGTTTCTTCATCAGGCCACGACACATATCCCCCCCCACCAGGTTTTAAAGTATTTTAAAGTATCTCTAATATAGTAAAACAATATTGGAGGTATTGTTTGCCTCCCTGTCCTGTTTTCTAGTTCGTCTTTTCGTCAATTTTGAAGAAACGTTCTGTTCCTGATCCTGGTAGACCTATTTAACTCTACAAACCATGAGTTTAGCTAAAAGATAAAATAATGAAATGTCGGGAAAATGCTCACAGAACAGCTCCACATTATTTCTGGTTAATCAGAGCAGGTTTATCCAAAAAGTCTTCATGTTAATATTTAAACAAAAGATGCATAAAACAGATTTTTTTTTTCACTTTTGGTCCAGTTTAAGAGAAAATCCTTTTTTCCAGCGACTTCCTGAAACATTCGGAATGAGTTAAGGTCCCATCTTTGAATCCGACAAGCTTTTTTTGTACTCTCTTACCACCAAACATTTCCTACATTCTAATCATTTTTGAACCAAGCTTTTTAACATTAACTTTTAGATGGATCCCTTGAAAGAAGCCCGATTGTTCCAGCGCCTGTCAGTTTGATCGGCGGGAGCATTTAAGCATACGAGACTCACAGGGAAGGTTTATTGAACGCAGCTGTTTTCTCCAGAGGGTCGAGATGCTACCTTTTCCCTTCTGATGTGGAGGAAGACGCTGTGACAGTAGCCATGCTTGCATGGCTACTGTCGCACTACAGACTGATGATTTTTGATCAAAATAAAAGCTTGTTGCCTTTTTTTTTGTGTGGCGGTCAACGTGCAGGTAAAGTATGACGGTGACTGTGGGAGGTGTCATAACATGAGAGCAGGTGGACTCTGCACTGCTGGTTTGCATCTGAATCTGTCATCAGCCCTCTCTGCCAAATATGAAGGACAAATGAAGTCCTTCTGCAGCATTTTTTTTTTTTTAAATGTGTGAAAAAAAACATCCTTCTTTATTTTTTTTTTCTTCCTGAACTCATTGCTTCAAATAAATTTTCATACTTCCTTTTTTTCTTAACACCTTTCTATCACAAAAAAAACTGCAGTGTATTTTCTTTTTGTGTTTGGGGGGGCAGCATATGCTTAAAAAGTGTAAGGTAAGGAAAGAAAATCTGAAAAAGATGTTTATGCTTTTGTATTCCCTCCCCTTTGATGCCCCGAAATAGAATAGAATAGAATTAAACTTTATTGTCATTGCACCGTCACGAGTACAAACCAACGAAATGTGGTTTGCATCTATTCAGAAGTGCTATCCAGGATATAAATATTATTACAGGTGTATGTACAAGCAAAAAGTAATAGTTAGGGACTGTAAAAGTTGTGTATAAATATGAATATGGGTTCTGCAGAGTTTTAAGCAGGATTTGAACATCTCACAGAGTGCAGATAGAACAGGAGTATTATCCTGTGGGGAGGGGGCAGCTATCTCTAGGAGTCTTGGAAATTGAAGGAGGGCCAAAAGATGTGGGAGTGGAGCTGAGGACAACCGCTCTAAACATGCAGGTGGAGAGGCGTATGTAAAAGCAATCCAGATCCTCATAAAAACACGAGGATGGCGAGACTTCAGGCAGATCTAATTGGACCCTTAACAATGTCTTTTTTTCCCGGTTTAGTCGTGGCTCAATAACCTGAAGCTGTAATCACAGGGAAAGGTTCTACACTGTTTTTACTAGGGGTGTGGGGGGGGGAAATTCGATATGGCGATATATACCATGATTTTCGGCTACCTAGTATGATATCGGTTTTTCAGTTCCTGATATTGATAAAAAAAATTATTATTTTTTTTAACTTAAAACAAAGGGAAAATTAGCTACCTCTGCACCGCCACTGTGGCAGATAGAGTCGTCGAGCCCTTTAGCTGTGCGGCGCAGCACCATTTCTGCAGTTGAGGCAGTTGCAGTGGAAGACGTGGACTGATTCAAACCCCAAATAGCATGGAAACCAAAATAGGGCTTGGGATCCGCGTTGCATTGTGGGACGTGGTGGCCATGTTGACGGCTACGCGAACATAAACATAGCTCTGATACAACGTTGTTGTTGAACAAAGAGATGTAGAAGTAGAGAGAAAAAAGATGTTAAAATCCCAAAAAGGATCTGGAATTTACCGGGACACATTAAATAGAGAAGCCAGGGACCGGTATGTTGACAAAATCAGCGTTATTAATAATTTGGATCCATATGAAGTTCCAAACAATAAGTGGAGCACCGATGAGTAACAGAGTAATCCGTACAAAGGTAAGCTGTGCTTAGACGGGCTCTGGAACCTGCTAGTTTAGTATTTACTATTTATCTCTGACACTTGGTCTCCGTGGTTGCGCCTCCAGGCAGGAAAGCGGTGGGAATTTAACCCATTTTCTGTGTTTTTCCCATGGCGATCATGTGCTGTTACAGCCCACAATACATCACCTTAATCAAGTTAAGGTGATGTTAATCATTAGTCATAGGCAGTAGTCTGAGCAGCGGTAAAGGAGGCCATCAACATGGCTGCCACGCAAAGTAATTACGTTATGACGCCCAAGCCCTATAACTAAATGATCAACACCCTCTGATTAACATAAACAGCACTTTCTTCTTTTTTATCT